TTATATTGTAGTATCGTCGATTTTAACTTCTTCTTTAGAAATGATTTTTTTCTACTCGCATGTCGATTGTAATAGTAGCGAGTACTTACCTCGAGATGCTTTTTTAAATTTCAAGCGGAGTCTTTCGAGGAAGAAAGCGTCTTCTGTCGTGGCAAACACAGTTTGCCTTGCACTTTATATTTTCCCCTGCTCTTCTTTCAAAATGAATAATCCATTAACTTTCCAAGCCAATTTCGTGTCAGCCTTTATTGTGCCTGTTGACTTAATACAGTTGAATTACTCACGTTTTATCTAGACTACATCAGTAGGTATCTAGATACAATGTTGCAAAGTTCAACCAGTGGGCCCGAACAGATTCTCGCAATTTTTGAGCTATACCTTTTCTTGCAAATTCGTTACATTGGTACATTTTTCTGTAAATTATATAGAGATAATCCTTAAAGTAATCTGTAGCTTTTCGAAATTATCGGTAATCAGAATACATGTCTGACATGAGTAACTGTAACGGAATACGGTTACTAATTTTTGTAATATGAATGCATAATGTATTCCGTTACTCTTCAACCCCAATAGCAACTGCCACGCAGCTTTGGTTTGGTTTCTTTTGAAATTCGCGCAAAGCTACACGAGGGCTATCTGCGCTAGCCGTTCCTAATTTAGCAGTGAAAGACTAAAGGGAAGGCAGCTAGTCATCATCACCCACCGCCAACTCTTGGGCTACTGTTTTATCAACGAATAGTGGGATTGACCATCACATTATAACGCTCCCACGAAAGGGCGAGCATGTTTGGTGGGATGGGGATTCGACTGAGTCAAGCGCCCTAACCACGTTGCCATGCCGGACCTACGCGGCTTTGAACAAAGAAAGCCATGTAAAATAGGTTGTAAACGAGGGAGGATAATCAACATTATGAAACACTAATGTAAAAGCTGTATATTTGTATTTAAGGAACTTGTGAGCTAGGTTTACAGTGTATCGAACCCAGCTTGCCGTAATGGTACATCTCAGTATAAAGTCGAATAGTCAATTATATTTTTAAAATTGTCAGCCTTATTGGTTAATTATTGGCACATTGTCACGACGAGTTCACATCAAAACCCTGTAAGAATAATTCAAAGAACAATTATTTTATTTTTTTCCATTGGGGGCGGCCTTAATTAAGTGTGGGGGCTCAGTGCAAATTATAGAACGCGAGGTTGAAAATAACGAAACCTGTTCACGATTTCGTTGCAAGTTCTTACATGGAAACCCCGACCCCTATATTAATATGATAAATAACACTTTAAATAAAAAGCGACAGAATAAAATACTACATAGTATGTAATGCTAGAAAATTTAATTCTGTATGTCTATAAAGGTCGTAATAAGAAAGCCTGGTGAAAGTTATTGTAAACCAACAACAAACACTATTTATGTGTTTTTCAAGTGGTTTAACTTGAATAGTCGAAGAGGTGTCATTTATGCCTGACTTTAAATGTCTAATCAAGAAAACTTCGTTTATTCACAATATTTCCCGTTCTCTGCTGAGCAGAGAATTTTGAAATCTTGATCGTAAGGTGTTCCATTACACATGTTAAGTGTGTGTAAATATTGGAATGATTTCCTTCGTTCGGTTTGAGATGTATTTTTGATTCAAACCGCAAGGTGGTGTATCACGTAACCAATATAAACCACCACCTTGCGGTACATGTAAATTTATAATAAACGACCACCATTGTGTTGGAAACGAGTCTTTCACCTTGCATATATATTGGTTCGAAGGTACGCCACCTAGCGAATTGGTCAAAGAATATCTCAAACCGAACGAAGGAAATCATTTCAGTATTTACACACACTTTAACAACGTTTGTAATACGACACCTTGCGATAAATACTTCAGTATTCTCTGCCTAGCAGAAAACGAAAAAACGTTGGGAATCAAAGAGACTATTGGTTAGACATTTAAAGTCAGGCATTAATGATACTTCTACGGCCTTTCCGATATACTTAAAATTCGGCCTCACTAGAAATGTTTCACAGAAACTGGTAATTGGGGCCTAGAGCTCCAAATGACTCCCTTGGTTATAATTCCGGCTCCGAAAAAACAGTGGAATATATCTAGGGGTCAGAATGGCCATTCTGAAATGGCCTAAAGTTAATTATATTAAATAAGAAAAAGGTAATTTACACGAACATGGAAAATAATTAATACTTGCAGCTTCCAACTAGTTTTCACATTTAAATGAGCATATTTGTATTAGGACATAGCAGGTTAGTTTGAGTTTTATTTATTTGTTTTATACGTAAGACGTTTTAGTCTTGACAATATAGAAACAACTGTACAGGGACTTATTCTAACTTCCTGTGTGTAAAATCTGAACAAAACGAGTCCCGATCTTTTACTAACGATTAAGAAGGCACAGCCTTGTTGTTTATTTGTATAAAAGTGATTGCTATTTCAATAATGTGTTACTTCATTCTTAATAATCAGTATGTATTTACGGAAAGTGCTTCTTTGACTGTTTGAAAATAAAAGTTAAATAACATATAAACAGTGTGTTGAATTCATGTAAGAAACGTATTTTTCCCCTAACTTGTCTTGTTTGAAACTATACAATTAAAAAAATATTTTTTTAACAAAAACTATTCAAGAATTATTTTGGATAACGAAGGTATTTGTAGTCCTGGAAAAGTGTGTTTACGTGACTAGATATTGGTTTTAAGTAAGTGGAAAAGATTGTGGTAGATTCTTCGTTTACAGCCAGTTCCATGTACTCAGCCTCTGGTGTTTGTCTTTAGCCTCTGGGGATTTATGAATCAGGCCTAACCAACCTTTACTCACTGAATCTTTTTAACAGACGGCTTCGGTAGGAAGTGTTTGTCGACGTGAAATCTGTAAGCTTGTGTATAATAGCACAATGTTACAACCTAATAATTCCCCTGTGTAACTTCTCAACCACGACCTTAATTCAACTTCCTTTCATAAACAGGAAATTGACTTTGGTAGAACTGCACGGTTTGTTTGCACATGCCTACCATTATGTTTTCAGTTTAATCCTACTGAAATGTTTCCCTATGAATAAACTTAACATGTGCAGCGACCGTGGGCTCCACAATTTAAAACAAGCATTATAAATAATGGAAAAAGAAGACTTACAAAGGCAGTAAAGACAAATATAAGTTTTATATTTCTTGATGCATTATAAAAGTTTCTCTATGTTCAATGATAATTTTGCGTTGGAGCTAATTGAGTCCTTGCGTAATTTCGTTATTAACGTTCATACTATTAGTATTACCGAAAATATGGTTTTATATGTACTTATTTTGATGGACTGCTATTTGTAATTAAGTAATAAACGTTAAATTCCATTTCCAGAGGAATGTTTCTGAAATAAAAGTTTTAAATTAGAATTCTATCTTAACGGAATTGTTTCTTCACATTCTTGAAAATTATCTTAAATAATGATTAATAATTACTGATTTGTTTCAAAATTGTTAAACTTCATTTTCCACTTCACAAAAAATAAAAGAAATAAATAAAATAATATTTTGTGTTAATAGGGTATCTTTGATTAAATGTGTTTCTGTGCTACAAATTATTTTGAATAATCTTAAAAAAGAATTAGTTTTGGAACAATTACTTGTGAAGTTCTTCTTGCCAAGATGATTATTACTTTGTAACAGTTGTTGCTGAATAACCTAGGACAGTTTTATTGTTTTATTACTATTAACTGTTCTGAGTTGTGCTTGTTGCTTAGTAACAATCATAACTGGGTGATCCCATTAATGGTAGTAATTAAGGGGGGTTTGCTGAGGCTACCTCAAAACATGCTTTAGTCTCTGCACAAAACTGAAAAGCACAGTTTTTGTTTCACTTTTTTCACCTCCTAAACACTATAAGGTATGTGCTAACAAGATGTTGATTGCAATTCCCTTTATTTTATGTTGGCCTACCTCAGCCTCTTCTCCAAGAAGAGCCTGGCAGTGCCTGTTAATAACCTCAGAAAAGATTGTTATTTTATTACTATTACTGTTCTAACTTGCACTTGTTTCTTTGTAACAATCATTATTGGATAACCTCATAGGATCTTGTTTTATTGTTATTAATTGTTCTAAGTTGTAATTGTGGTTTGTAACAATCATTATTGAATAACCTCTTACAATCTTGTTTTATTTTTATTAACTAAATTGCACTTGTTGCTTTGTAACAATCATTATTGAATAGCCTCACACAATCTTGTTGTTTTAACTACTCAACAGAGACAAAATATTCATTTTAAAAGTTAATTATATTCTTCTAAGAAGAAAAGTAAAATAAAATTTTGAAAGATATCTAAATTCTTTATGAGTAGAATATCAGAGTATTTTTTAGCTGTGGGCATGACTTACTGGATAGCATGCCTGGACTGTGTATATGAGGATTCATGGTTCATGATCCATTAACACAAAAAAGAATGTACTTTGCACTTTGGGGCTGTGGGTGTGTTATGAGGGTGACAGTCAAATCCCACTATTCAATCAGACAAGAGTGGGTGGTGCTATCTGTCTCATCTCTAGTTTGTTGGTTCAAAATTATAAAAGACTATGTGATTTGAAATTCTGAAACAAACAATTAAGCATATTTTACTGGTAAACAAATTTCTGTGGAAAAAAAAGAATGTAATCAACATTTTGTCAGTCAACTATTTTCTTTTAAGGGGTCCCAAATATTTAATATTCTTTTAAAGTGGATTTAGGGAGTGTATTCAACATGTTGACTGAACTTTCTCTAGATGTTTCATGCTGTTTGTCTTGATTTTGAGACACCATTTTAGGCTCCATGCTGAGTCCTTTATCCCCTGAGAAATGCCAAGAGAAATATGTAATCTTTTTTCTTTGACATCAAATAACAAATTTCATTTCAGAGATAACTGTTGTTATCAACAACTAACTGGTTCCGAATGTAAAATTTTATTAAAATGAGGTTTCTGAGTTTGTATTGGGTTTTAGAACTAATCATTTGTTTTTTTTAACCATGAAGGAAAGGAATGCTGAAAGTGCCATCGAAGCTCTTAAAGAATATGAACCTGAAATGGGCAAAGTCGTACGAAGCAACAAGCAAGGTGTGCAGAAGATTCGGGCGAGAGACATTGTTCCTGGAGACATCGTAGAAATTTCAGGTGGGGATGACATCAGCAGTGAGAGAAAATATTTGTACTTCTAGTTGCGCTTAAATTTTCTTATATGGGTAAATGTTTGAGTAGTATGATGAAGATGGATTTGCTTAAGGATTAAAGTTCCATGGGTTAAAAGTTATTGTTTTTTAAATAAATTTTCTAATAGTTTCAGTATGTCACAGTACTTAAATTTATGTGTGGGATTTCAGGTTTCACATAAAGTTTTTATTGGGATGTAATTTTTAAGAGGTCAAGCACAAAGCTGAATAAAACATTTTTCATTTGAGGCTATATGGGAGAGGTTTTGATATCCTCCCTTGCAGTTTCATACATCTTCTTTGGGGGAGGGGGGGGGGTCCGTAATTATTACACAGGCAAGTATTAAATGTTGGAGAATAGGGAGTATGAAAAGATTTTACAGTGTTTACTAGCCTTTTGCTGATGATTTCAAAACAAATTGTACTTAACTTGCTAGGTATTAGCATAAGCAGGAGATGCACTTTGAATCTGGAGGGGCACCTTTTGCATTTTTACTGATTTGTCATAAAGTAATGCCAAGTTAGATCGAGCTATGAACAATGCTGGTAACTACTATCTGCCTTACATTTTCAAGCTGTACGTGCTGTTTTACCAACTTTATTATATTTTATTTAAAGAAGGAAACTTTAATACTTTAATAGCTCATGTCCCCAGAAAAATAAAAAATTACAATGTAAGAAGTCTCTTGTAATATATATATATATATATATATATATATATACATATATATATATATGCATTGTTATTTATGTATGTTTGATATATTATAGGGCAAGCTCAAACCTTACTAATTATTGAATATAAAAATTTGTCTACATGCACATATATATATGCATGTATACAGAATAAGTCAAAAGTCTTGATTTTTCTATTGCAATTCAAATATGGAATATCAAAAATAACACAATTTTACCTCATACTGATAGCTTCAGATATATAGTTTGGTTGATCTTGATTGGACCATTATATTATGACATCATATCAGATAATAAATGGCCCCCGATATACCTAAACACCCTATGTCAGCAGATTTTGAATATTCCACATCTACTTCACACCAATATGGAAAATCAGGATTTGGACTCACCTGGTATATAAACATACATACATATATGTTTACTAGATGTGTCCAGTAATATGTTGTATATAATAAACATTTAATTCATGGGAATGTTTGTTTTTTTTCTTGTGAAATTGAAATGTTTGAGGTACAAGTAACCATCTGATTGGATTTTTCTAACTTAAATAATAATTGCTCACTAAATCATTACTAGATATACATGGTGTTTATGAAGTTGACAAGTGTTTTGACACCAGAGACATTCATAGTAAGAGAACAAAGTCTTGGAATAGTCACGTTAGTGCATTTAACCTACAAGTGTCTTACGTAAGTTAGGTGGAAATTGTATTGCAGAACATGTATGAATAAATGACAGTTAACAGCTCCCTTTTGCAATTTCTTGTTGTAGTAGTGGAATATTTACTGTGCCTATTCCCAAAGTTTTACTATCATACCATGTCTCGTCTTGATATCCAAACACCCGGTAACTAATATAGAATTGCTCTGTATGTATTATTAATAGATTGTAAGGAAAGTAATTGAGAAAACTGTAGCAGTAATGTATACTTTTCTTCTTTCTCTCTTAACTGTTCCAAAAATCATTGTGACAATGTTGTGAAAACATTCAACTTTCAGTTTAAATTTTTTCATTATTTCTACATGTTTAGTTGGTGACAAAGTCCCAGCAGACATTAGGCTGATGAAGATCTTCTCAACAACTATACGGGTAGACCAGTCCATTCTGACAGGTAAATACAGTGGGATTTGAATGTCTGTAATGTTGTTTAATAATGTTTGCCTTTGTGATAGAGCTTTTTGTGTAACACAGGTTTTTCTAAAGTTTACTGGCCATTTAATCTGTTAGAAATTTGGATTCTAGTAGCAAACTTGATAAGATAAGTTATTTTAGCACAAAAGTCATGTATTTAAAGTGAGCTTAAAAATGGAAAAATCATCCCTTTTTATTGAAACTGGATTTATTTCTTAACATAAATATATTTTATAGCCTTTCAGCTCACCTAATACAAGCTACCAGTGTATTGAAATTCACTGGTCAAATAATTATTTTAAATCTTTAACTGACAACTCTTCATCAAGCAGTGAAGTTAAGTCAATGGTTGCACTATATTTTTTGTCCATATCTTCCAAAATGTATATGCTAAAAGATGTTCATCCCATCTTTCAGGAGTTTGCACAAAATAAATAACATAAATACTTTTAATCATGTACACATGACTATATGTAACCCCACGACCTTTCAGCTTGAATCTGATAGTTGTCAAAATGAGGTTGCTCTGAACCATATATTATTAAGAATTTATTCTTTGGTCATGTGCCTTAAATAAGTTATGCCTGTAGTTAATTTATTGTTAAGTTTTTAGACAATGAGCAGTCATTAGGTGTGTGTGGTTTTTACTCATTTCATTTCAATTCAACCCAGAGGGCATAGAACATATTGTTCACTGATTTTACAAAATGTTGACCTCTTGTTTCGATTTATTTTCATGTATACATGAAACACCTGCTTATTGATCATGAATATTCACCAGTTTTATAAATATATACAGACTTGGACTAGATCTCATTTAAGACTAATATAACTCGCATAGCTCACCAGAAAAAAATTGTCAAATTAAAATTGGAAATAAGCTTGTCATGAGTTTGATTTGTAACTTGTAAAACTTTTGTTTTGATAAAATTATGTTGACATCATCAAAAACTGTTGTGAAAAACATGACTTTTTTTAATGAATTATAATAAAATTATATTCAGTCTAATTTATATAAGTTAATAAACTGGTTTTTCAATAAAATATTTTTCATTTTTGAATACTTAGATTTATTTTTTAAATTTATTTCAAATTTGAATAAAAAGTAAATACTGAGCAGTGAGGTATGGATTGTTCCAGCTGTAGAGCTTGTTTTGCAATCAGTCTAAAGACAAACTAGGAACTAAAGTACAAAATAATTAACATTGTATGATTTTGAATTTTTATTTTCAGTCATATTTAATTAAAAATCAATAACAAAGTAAAAAAAACAAAGCTAAATAGTTAAAAAATGAAGAAGTTTATTATGCACTTCAAAGAACACCAGTAGTATGTGTCTCAAATGAAGTTATGCATATATAAAGTCAGAACTTACACCACTCTGAAGTAGTGAAGATTTCAGTCACACGTCTATAGTTGAAATGTTTGACATCCATCTTTTACTTTAAAAGAATAATCAAATCTTCTCTTTTTCTGCACTGACACCTTCCAAATCTTAAAATAGTTAAAATACACCTGACCTTATTATTGCATCCTTTTCTTATTTTTTACATCCAACCGATTTATTTTGCATCCAGGATACAGACTTTTGTGTTAATGCGACTAATGTCTTGTGCTGATTTTTTTTTGTAATTACAGCTACTTGTGGCTTCAGCAATTGATTTTTTTATATTTTACCTATATGTCTATAATTCTTCTTTAAACAAATTAATTATAAAATGTTTGATTCACTATGTTTCATACACATGGGTTGTTTGTCTTCATAAAAATCAAAGTTTTTTTTTTTCTAGATTAGGTGGTGTCACATTCAATTCCTAATGGTTTTATTAAAATATTATGAACTTATTATATTTCTATGTAATTGTGTTTATGTAATAATGATTTTATCTACTTTTTTGTTCCATGCATTATGAACTAAAACTTGAAAAATTATTGAAATTTAAAGAGCCCAGTGCTGTGTTAAAAAAACTTCTGTTTTCTGAACATTCGTTAAATGTTTCAAGTTGTGTCATATTTCTTTTATCTAAAGTTTTTGTTTAAAAAATTAACAACCCAGTGACAACCTAGACAAGGTTAAGATTTGGTCAGTTTGTCAGTTAACCTAAATGTCATTCGACCTGTTATGTATATCATGGAAAAAAAATGAACAAAGCTGTTCTCGTATAGACAATACGAATTACATACAACATTTCCATGAAGCAACTGTTTTTATTTTTTTCAGTTCTTGAATTGTATGTATTAATTGTAATATTTTTTATTGTTTTTCAAGTCAGACTAGCTATCAGTAATAAAATAACATTGTAATAAAGTTAGAGCACTTTCAGGTAGATGAATTACTATATAAAAAGCACTAAGTAATTGTAAATCACATTATAAGACAATAGTTTTGAACTTGTTGTATTTTTAAATGCTATATTTTTTATTTGGTCCCTTAGTGTTTTTCCAAGAAAAAGAGTGTCTAATAATATTTAAACTACATTATATAACCAAATGCTTATGTAAATAGCAGAGTTTCAACCAATACTATGTTTGTTTTATTACAGCAAGCCTGGGCAAAATGCATTGTCAGCAAAGGATATGGCAGATATTGTACATTTGAAATATTATCATATTCTCTTCTGGGAAAAATGTTAAAGTGTCCAAACAAAGAATGTAGTGTTTAAAAGTAGAATAACCTTAATACTGTTGTGTTATGATAACTGTAGTTTATAATAATCATACTTCACTGAATTAAAAAAATAACATTCACACCATATCAGTTGTTATATTCAGTATGAACATTTGCACTGGTTAATAAATTTACATTTTCTTGACTTTTTGTATGAAGATATTTTTTTATAACACTTTCTCTCCTAATAGGTGAATCTGTGTCTGTGATTAAACATACAGAACCTGTTCCAGACCCACGGGCTGTTAACCAGGATAAGAAAAACATTCTTTTTTCAGTAAGTAACATTATGATTTCTCCACTGCCTCATAATCTTTTACTTTTCCAGTTAAGCCTCTTGCTGAAAGCTTTCATTTTTATAAGCATCCGTTAGAAATATCTATAAGGTTTTTAATCATAGTGACTGCAATTTTAGTAGTGATTTGGCTTTGAAACAATATTTTGTTTGTACTAGTGTCTTAATTAATTTTTTTTGTAGGGTACTAATATTGCATCAGGAAAGGCTCAAGGGATTGTCATTGGAACTGGATTGGAAACAGCCATTGGTAAGTTTTTCAACTTATTCATTAGCTTGTACAATAATAAATACAACACAACATGGAAAATTAAAAATATCCAATTTGTACTATTTAAAAATATTTCAGAATTTTATAATCAACCTAAAATGTCTTACTAGAGGATTTCATAAAGTTGTTTGGAGTTTAGATTTCCTGTAGACTAGAGCAAGTTTACTTACGTTAATTTATTTTAGCTATGAACAGTCAGAATGATAACATGGTGTTTTCCATACATTAGTGTCTCCATGCTATCTGATCACTGAAAGTTGTATTATAGTACTGCCCCTAATTAATGCTCTCCTACTTGCAGAGATCAGCACTCAATACTGGTAACTGGTAAATGTCATGCAGGCCATGATTTTCCTGCATTTTTTGCCATAGCAGCAAACTTCAAAGTTGCTTTGGTGGTACCAATCAAAGGAGGTTACCTGGTACATAGCAGGACTGATTCACAAGATCTTTTGACACTTATAAACAATGATCACCATACTTATTGTGACAGTGACCACTGATGTTTATAGCAAAGTTAGAAATAAATAGGCTGTGTTTACTACCACTTATTATAGATATATTTGTTTATAAAGAAGTATTATCATATGACCCACTTAGTTTTCTAATTAGTGCCCCTCCTGTGGGCATTAATTATGAGCAGTACAATATATAGTGTTTTTTTATATACGTTAGTGTTTCCATGTTGTGTGATTAGTTCTCGGGTGGGTAGTATAGTGTTTTCCATACGCTAGTGTCTCCATGCTGTTCGATAATATAATGTTTTCATGCTGTCTGATTAATTCATAGTTGGAAATGTAGTGTTTTTCATATGTTAGTGTTTCCAATCTGTCTGATCTGTCACAGTTGTATAATAAAATGTTTTCCATGTGTTAATGTGTCCATGCTGTCTGATCATTCATAGCAGAGCCTTTCCTAAGGATTTTTTTCAACTGCACAATTATATTTTAATTTCACAATTTTTTAATATGTGATGCCTTTTTGCCCCTCGTATAAATACAGGACTAGTAACAAATGATCCAAAAAATGAAGAATATTCTAGTAATTACATATATTTATCAACTCTGGAATGAAATTTTATAATCTTAAATATGTTTTTAATATTTATCCACTGGAACTTACTTATATAGGTGAATTTTGAAAATATAGGTGCACTATTTGTGATCAACTGCACCCTAGAAAAACCCCTGATTCACAGTTGGAAAGTACAGTGTTCTCTATGCAGTCTGGTCAGACACAGTTGGATAATATAGTGTTTTCTGTTCACTAGATTTTCCATGCTGTCTTATCAGTCATAGTTGGATAATATAGTGTTTTCTGTTCACTAGATTTTCCATGCTGTCATATCAGTCATAGTTGGATAATATAGTGTTTTCTGTTCACTAGATTTTCCATGCTGTCTTATCAGTCATAGTTGGATAATACAGTGTTCTCTATGCAGTCTGGTCAGACATAGTTGGATAATATAGTGTTTTCCTTTCACTAATTTTCCATGCTATCATATCAGTCATGGTTGGATAATATAGTGTTTTCTGTTCACTAGATTTTCCATGCTGTCTTATCAGTCATAGTTGGATAATACAGTGTTCTCTATGCAGTCTGGTCAGACACAGTTGGATAATATAGTGTTTTCTGTTCACTAGATTTTCCATGCTGTCTTATCAGTTATAGTTGGATAATATAGTGGCATTTATATATTAATACCTTCTTGCTACCTTATCATTTATTCATTAATGGTCAAACAGTAATTTATAAAAAGAAAAGAAATATTGTTTGAAAGCATATTTTTGTGAAACTAATCTGACTCCAAATTTTGTAGCCAAGATTTTAAATTTCTTAACCATTGGACACCTGACTGTGTACATGTGTTTGCTAATTACTGGATAATTTACTTGTATACAGTGAACCTGTGATATCAATACACTTGTCTAGTTTAGGTCTTTCGTCAATGGTGTAGTATTTGTGGATATTATGTTGTGATTCTACTAAATTTCATTTGAGTGTACAGAAGGATTGTTGAGTAACTGAAGTATTCATATATATTCAAAGAGTAAAGTCATGTTACAGTAATGTTTTATAATTAAGCTCTGCAAATGAACCATATCTGAAGCTAAGAAATGTGTGAATTTTGTTTTATATTGATTCAAAGGATTAAAAGAAGCTTCTATTTTTAATCACTGGATTTCTTCCTTATTCAGTTATTTTATTCTAATTAACTCTCTGTGTGATGTTTGGTTTCATACTGATATTCTATATTTGTTACAGGTAAGATCAGAACAGAAATGTCTGAGACAGAAGAGGTAAAGACACCCTTGCAGCAGAAACTTGATGAGTTTGGTGAACAGTTGTCCAAAGTGATCTCTGTAATCTGTGTGGCTGTGTGGGCTATTAATATTGGCCACTTTAACGATCCAGCTCATGGTGGATCATGGATCAAGGTAAGCTGCTAATGGGTCATTATTTCAACCACACATGACAACTGTTATGCTTCAGCATGGTATAATTCACCAGTGATTACAATCTGTGACTACTGAATGATTTATTGATTTAATATTTATCTTTATTAAAATATTTATGTATATTTACATTTAAATACTATTTAAATTATCAGTATTTTCTTCCAATCTGCTACTGATGCAACTGAAGATAATAAGGTGGAGTAACATCTCCAATTTGACTTTTTACTTGTGTCCAAGTTTATCGTAATTAATGATGGGTAAGGAAATTTGCTTGTGGATGTCATTAGCTAAAATTTACCTGTTTTCTTACATTTAAATTGTTGCACCATCAGTATAACAGAGGAGTATCATTTCAGTGTTACATATGTTTCAGTTTGTGAATTTAGTATTTAGATGAAATAATTAAGTTTAAGATGTTAAAATTTTTTTATCAGGCTTTATTTTGACATCAACATATTTTGGCCAAGCTTACTAAGCTTCCAGTATTTTACTGCCTGTTAATGTTGAGAATCAAAATATTGAACAAAAACTTCACAATGGGGATTATCTGCTGCAAAATATAGTCACTTACATATTCTCATAGTTGGCTTGATACTATGATACCTGTGCAGTATCACAAACACACAGATATGGGTTATAAATATGGATGAACGGGTAGTCAAATTTGACCAAATACTGGGTCCGGGTACCCGGTCACTAAGCTTTGGGTCCGGCCAGGTGTCAACCGGGACCGAGTTCTCCCCTTGTCCCAAAAAAACATACACAAAAATTAGAGACAAAAACAAAATTGATGTTTATTACATTTAACCGAATAATCACCAACAGAACAATCAAGCTTTACTTTCAACTTTCAATGCCTAGCCCCAACTTCTCAAACCCTAACCTCTATTGTTCTCAAAACCCCACCTTCCCCAGAAATCCACTTATCAAGCAATGCCTGTTATTAACCCCTATTGTTCTCTGAATCCCTGATTTTCAAATACTTTTTTTTTTCAGTACCTTGTTAGTTGCCACAAAGATTATGGCTTAGATACCTAACTTTGACACTTGGCTGGAGCCGAGTATTACCGGGTGGCCCAATACCCAGCCGGGGCTGATTATCTGGCCGGGTACCCGTGCATCCCTGGTTATAAGTGAATATTATATTAGCTTATTTGTGTTGATTGCATCTATTAAAATGTGATTTATGTAAGCTGTAGTTCATGATTTGTTTTTCATTATAGTATAAAAGATTTTGTGATTAATTCTTTCAGAATGGGTGTCATTTTGTGTGCATGTCAGAATGTTTTAGTGAGTTACATTCAACATTTTATTAAACTACTTTTTTATCATGGTATGTAAATAAACTTGGCATAAAAACATAGCTAATAATACAAACTTTAATATTATATAACTTTTGATTTTATAAGGCAATATAAAAAAAACCTCAATTTTCCCTTGTGTGAGAATTCTGACATTTGCTCTCAAGGTATTCTTTCTTCTCTAATTTACCTACTACCCTTCCAAGAAGTACAAAATTTATGGCAAGTTACTCCTTATAATATCATTGCTCAGGCAAACCACAATGTTTATAGCCGTCAGTCTTATTTGGTTACAAAGCCATCAAATAGAAAATCAAATCCAACTTGCCATGCCCACCTTTCACATCATTTGCTCTCAAAGTATTCTTTCTTCTCTAATTTATCTACTACCCTTCCAAGAAGTACAAAATTTAGCGTAAGTTACTCCTTATAATGTCATTGCTCAGGCAAAGCACAACTTTTATAGCCTTCAGTCTTATTTGGTTACAAAGCCATCAAATAGAAAATCAAATCCAACTTGCCACGCCTACCTTTCACATCCTCTCTCTTTCAGAAATTGCCAAGTGTTCTCTCTTATGTTTGATAATATATTATTTGTAACCAATAGAATGCCAAGGTTTTAATTTATTAAATGACATATTATATTACATTGTTTGCTGTATAGAGAATTGTCTATTTTGCTTCCAGTTCAAACTATTCCAATGGGAAACACACTAACGAGCTTAACTGAATTTTTAGAAAGCGTGGTTAGAAAGCCAGAATAATTGTGATAATTATGGGACATTGTCCACTTTTTGCATGTTATTATTCTGTGTTTCTTTGGTGCATTACTTAATTAAATAAAACATTATTTAGTAAAGTAGTACCATTACGATAAAAAAATAGTGTTAAGTGTCATTGACAATTGACAGCAAAAAAAAAAAGATCCAGGTAAGTATTGTATTTCTTGTTTTTCATGTATATTCTTTATTTATTATTATAAAAGTAACTAGAATGTAAAGAGTTTTAGGTTAGATTAAGTAAAATAAAGAATAATAATAATAAATTTTTGTGTGGTATCCTCTGAAGTAGCCCATGCGTAATATAAATTGATATGGTAACATGAGCTACAGGTTCACCAACTGATTTTCAAAATTTATATTGGGAATATTAATTTAGACAGAGTTCAAAGGGCAATAAAACAATAAAATTTAAGTGTAAATATATGTATGAACTTATAGCTATTTAAGATAAGCAAATGTAGTTCCATGTTACAATTTATAGTCATTCTAGAGAGAAAGAAGGGTAATATAGATTTAATTTGAATTATTTCGTTTTGGTGGTTATGAGGTTAGTCAAATTGATGAACCTCGTACATATAGTTAGGGTAGAGAAAATAAAAGCTAAAATATAATGTTTTACTGAAAAATGACATTTTATGATTGTTTTGGAAGTTTTAGAGATTACACAAATGAGTAATAATGGCTGGAGATGGCTTGAATGGGTAATGAAGAAAAACTTTAATATAAGTTTAACATAACA